AGTGAAGGAAAACCCTAGAAAACAAAAGGTGTTTGGGGAGTGTGTGGGTCAAGAAAATGGATGGAGAATGGTTGGATTAGGATTAAAGAAATGTGTTAAGTAAAGTTGGTGTGTCATCAACCCAAGGAAATGCGCCTCATTTCAGGACACTTCTAGGAAATGATGATTCCCTTTGGATTTCAACTTCTGCCCCAAATATACATTATAGAAATTAATAAATTATGATAATATCATATAAAAATTTCTTTAATTTTTATTACTTTCTTAAACAAGACAAATATGTCTAAATAACATTACTCTATTAAGAATAATTCATAAATGTAAAAGAAAATGATATAATGAGCGACTTCTTTTGTCTAACTATACAGCCGACCTAACGTGACAATTAATGATTGACATAAATATTTAAAAAAGAATGTATATACTTTTTAAAAGCTAACAAAAGCCTTGTAAGACTCTATCTATTAGAGTTATTATAAAATTTGTAAAATTACTCAATTTTAAAATATATAATATATATTATGATGCACCCACTCACCGATTCAGGCAATCGAAAACAAGAGCCGATTGACTCACAACCCCATCATGCATTGAAGTGGGCTATGAGTCGATCAACGCAGTTTTCCATTGGTTGATTGTGACCTAGTAAAATTATTTTCCTAATCCAAATTGCACAAATATTCTTATACTATGTTTCGTTTTGTATCGAATTTGAGCCATAAATTTGAGATTAGAAAAAATTTAATACAAAATTTAAACTAAATTTTCTTCAATTTCAAATCTAATGCACCTAATCATAACATTAATTTGTATGAATTATAACTATTTGTCAAATGACATACCAAAGCAAGCTCATTCTCATTGCCAAGTGCTCGGTTCAATTCATTTAAAAATGAGAGGTAGTGCTCAAATGGAGTTTCACTTGCTTCTTTTTGTTGCTACCCATTTTATTTAAGTATATGTTACCAAAAGTTCTTTAATTTCTCATTTTGTTTTATGCAACATCATTAGCTTCTAGGAGAGAGCCAAAAAAAGGGGTTCCAATGGCATCTAGGAATAGTTCAATTAGTGTTCTAAAAATCGTTTTTGTGTAACACACAAAGTTTAGTTGGCCAGTTATATATATGCATCTTACTGTAATCATCATTATTTTAATCAACTTTTAATATTTACATATGAGTGATCACATTGGGAAAATTATTAGGTGGTGGTCCGGCCAATCAGAGAGGGCATGCAGTAAAAAAAATTTAAAAGGTACTTATTATATTGCGTTATCAAATAACATGTTTTTTAATAATAATAATTTTTTGACAACTCTATTGATAAAAACGATTTTTTTTTTTAATTTGGACAGTAACCCCAAGAGTGTTGTTAGTCAAATGAGGTTTATTGGGAAAATGAACAATTTGGGTTCTTTACCATAATCTAAAGGATTGAATTGACCCGATAGGAATTCAGGGATATGTAAGCGAATCCTTATGGCAAGGGATGGATTTTGTGACATGGTTTACATAAATCAATCAAATTCAATATAAGTAATAGTTAACTTAACAAGTCTTCAAAAATCTCGAAAGAAACCTCTCATTACAGTACTTCCTTATTCATTTATTATTTTGAGCTTTATAAACCAATTCTAAGATATTAATATATTGAAATATATATATATATATATTGAAATATATATATATATATTACAGTATAAAATAGAACAGTCAAGGACACGATATTCATGCATTAGAAACCAAGTAAAAAGGACAAGTTGATTCTCTTCTCCTCTAACCATCTAAGCACAAACATCATAATAAAAGCAACACAAAAACAAAATATGCAAAGAAAGAGAAAAGGAAAGGCTGTCTTGAGAGGGAGAAGAAAACAACGAGTTATGAGTTGGGTGGGATAGGTATTGGTGTATACTGCACACACACACATATATATATATATACACACACATATAGAGAGAGAAAAGAGATGGTTTGGAGAGAGAAAGAAAGGCACATTGCCGTGCGGGCTTGTGCTACTACCAAGAAGGAGTAGAGGAGAGGGGAGGAGAGGAATTGATTAGCATAGGAGGAGGAAGAGCCGACCCTTGTGGGTCCTAAACAAAGACAAATTGTGTGATGCCATTCCAAGCACTCTCTTTCACATTTTCTTTTCTCTCTCTTTTTTTATTTTTTTTGGGTGGCTTCTCTCTTTCTTTGTCACCTCCATTAATTTAATAAAGTAAATAAAAATCATTCTTGGTTTTGGGAAGTTCACCACCTATAACCTTCTCTATTTTCAACTTTTTCTTGTGAGATTCACTCCTTTCTTTTTTATTTTTGCATTAACTTGCAACTGATTTAATTTTAAATAGCCAAAATATTCTTATCATGGAGAGACACTAATTTAATTCTTCAGTATTAGAATCTCCAAAAAAAATCATTTGGGTATCATAATATTGTTCATCTGTTAAAATTTTGAACCATACAAAATGGGGAAAAATACTCTTATATTTCAGGGCCTAAATATAGGTTTCATTCTTATACAGTCTTGAGTAAGAGAAAATTATGTAGGTACATTGGTTGGAGAAAGAATGGAGGGAAAATGGGGAAGTGGGGTGGTGCTCTTTAGTTTGAAAAGGAAAGGGAGAGGAAGAAGGAAAGGGAAAGGAAGGATGGAGAAATCTTCCCTAGAAAATACAATTTGGGCTCCTACCAACGAGTGTGTAAAAGTGAGTCATAAATTTTGACCCTACCTTTTTACCATTTAGTGGGTATTATATTTGATCCAATCACCTAAAACTCCTATTTCTTCTTATATTTCTTTCATACTCAACCCCCAAAAAAAAAAAAAATTCCTCATTTTTTAAATCAAATTTTTTTCAAAAAATCAAGCGGACACATGTCCATAATATTGCTTCTAATAAAATTCAACCATTCAAACTTTCGAAGATGATAGATTATACTATCTCACTAATGTCCATTGGTTCATTTTCTTAAATATACAACCTAGCTAGACAAGATGGACGTGTTGGGTAATGCCACCAAAATCATCACATAATAATTTTATGCAAATTAAGGTCAGTTGATTGAGTTGGGTTTTTTTTTTTTGACTAGTTCATTGGAATTGGAGGCGTGGAAGTTTGGTTTTTCAACCCCAGCACTTAATTGTTTATGCTTCAAAGCTTGATTTGAAAGGCAATCCGAAGATGGCATGTTATGGAAATCCACAAGAAGAGTAGGTTTAAATAAAGCTCATATAATTGTGGGACATTTATGGTCATTTTACATTCTTCCAATAAGTTTACTTATTCTTAATCATCACCCACCATTTTAACACTACTATATAGATCCTATGAAAAATGAACAATATTCTTGATTGGATTGCCTCTTCAAGGGAGGATTAGTCACAACCGAAAGAAGTGCTACGAATGGAACAACTGTGGGTGTAATCTTACCACGTTTTCAGAATAAAATGTTTATTTTCAATAGATTAATTAAGACAATTTTAAATATTTTTTTTAAAAAAATTGCCTATTTTTAATGGACCACAACACTGCATGAATCTTGTCTCCATTTCATAATAACCTCTTATTACCATGAAGCCAATACACCAGTTGAAATGTAAACGGTCAAATTTTCTAATACTTTTTAAGGTCCAAACAGCAGATGCTGAAATCTCAATGCATCCCAAAATATGCATTCCATTACTTGGCAAACATTTTGGCCACCCAAGAAAAGATGGTGGCACGAGGATGATGGGTCATTTTTGTCATTTGGGAAATCCTAATTGCAACCAATACGGTTCAAATTTTGAAAATTTCATGTGCCCTAAATAAAGGGTAGAAAGAATAGAAGGGCTACATTAGTCATTTGACACAGTCATAGAAGAAATTCTGATCAAACACTAAACTTTATGAGAAGGAAAAGAGAACTCAACCAACAACCATACAATTAGGTCGGAGGTATTCTGATCTCTTCTTTATTTTCTAAGATAAGGAATGAGAATTGATGGAACCATCTGTTCAAGAGTTTGAATCTTCAAAACCAAGTAAATGTTCAAAATTTTCCTACAAAAGAGTAGAAATAGGAAAAACCGTGTTCCTAAATAGAAAATTAGAGTATTCTTGAAAAACTCAAAAATAAAAATAAAAAAAATTATTTATTTGGGCGCCTCTTATAAAAAAATTTAACACTACTTTTTCAGGACCCATCTATTAAACATCATGCAATTATTATTATTATTTTTTTTCATTTCCTTTTTTTTTTTCATTTCATATACACGTATGTAAAGACAAATGTTACAATTATATGATTTAACTCTATTGCAATTATTCTAAGGTCATATCACTTAATTCATGAGATTCAAAATTTTAAAAAAGAATAATTTAATCACTAGAATAATGTGAACTCAAACATTAAGAATCATTGAATCAAATGACCAAGGACACGAATGAAATAAAAACTCTCCTTTTCTTTCAGGTCAAAACCTAATTAGAATCATTCCCCTTAAACTCCATTACGCCTGTAACCCAACTTCACAGCAAAGTAGGCATCTTCATTCTACTCATTTTTATGCAAGCAGGGGCAGTATAGTCTTTTTAATTAAAACTGCACCATTTACCAAGATCTATAGAGTGCCCAATTCAATAAATAAATAAATCAACATAAATAATACTGTAATAATAATACAGCTTTTATTGTTAATATTATTTTTTTATCTTCTCTCTCTAAAATAGAGAGAGTGAGTCACAAGGCTGGCGAGAGACGCATGGGCCATATACAAACAATCCCAGCGGCAGCGGTAGCGGTAGCGGCAAAGACCCTCTGCAAGCCCAACAACAACATCACCCAACCCCCAACATCCCCCACCTCGTTCATTTTCTCACTCTATATATATTATATAGTGTGTGTGTGTGTATATATATATATATATGTGTATATATGGCAATTAAAATATTTTAAATAAAATAATTAATTAAATAGATAATTAGAAGATTATATTTAGATATAGTTGATTAGAAACACGAGAGAGGAGTCCTCAAAGCAAGCTAGAAAAGACAAGCCCCACGCGAGAAGAAGAAGAGAACCAAAGAAAGAAGAGGAAGAAGAGAACAACAAGGTGTCTCTCTCTTGGACTGATTCGCTTCAATCGCATCTACCCTCTCTCTATATATCTCTCTTTCTCTCTCTCTAAAAAAAACATACATACACAGCAGAGCAACCCAACGTCCCAAGGCAAAGGCAAACAAAAGAAAAGTAGGTGAAAACAAAGTGATAGAGAAGAGGATGGTGGTATCAAACAATTCATTTACTTCCAATATTCCTCCAAGCACTCTGTGAAAGGAGAAAAAAGATTAACCCAATTTTCTCTCTCTAACCGTCTCGGCATCATTCTTTTTCTCCCTTGTTGAAGAGTCCGCAGGCATCTTCATTTCTCTCATGCTGTTTATGTGTTTGCGTTAATTAGCCCTTCATTCGCGTCCCACCACATTGCTCTCTCTAACATTCTCTCTCCATAACCTCTCCTTCAACTACCATCTATATACAAATCATCCATCTTTATATCTATATATCCCATATTAGTTCATAACATATCGTATCATCTAGACATCTATACCAATGGCTGTTCAAGCTCAATACCCATCAAATGTTCTCTTCCAAAACAGGTATGGCTTGAACCCCCTCTCCCTCTCTATCTATCTATATATATATATATATGGATTTGATTCAATGATAAAGTCATATATCGTTGTGCAGAAGCTTAGAGGAGGGAAAGAATCTACTTGGAAATGACTATTCATTGCAACCACAACCAGGAGGGGGATTTCTTGATCAATCTCACATAGTATTCAACAATGGAGGTGAGTTAAATTTCTTTCAACTTACAATAATTTCTGTGTGTATTTAGAAGATAATCGATTGGAAGTCAATAATTATATGTCAATAATTATATAGGAACTAATACGTCGCGAAAGAGAGGAAGAGAATTTACTGGAACAACAACACAATCTATCAATACATTTTCATTGCAAACTCAGCCACTACAGCTCATAGACCTCACTCAGCTTCATACCCAGCAACGAAATGTAGTCTCAACAGGTCTCCAATTAGCATTCGAAGAACAACAGCAACATCATCAACACCGACCACAGACTCTCTCTCCTCAATCTTCATCATCGGTTCTGCTATCGCTATTGTCAGAAGACTTGTCACCCGAAATCAGACGACAGAGTGATGAAATCGAACAATTTCTTCGAACCCAGGTACTGATTCTTCTCTATAACAAATGGGTTCTTTGAATTTTCCATTTCAATCCTCCATATAAATATGAATGCACATGAATATGTGTTGTGTTCAGGGAGAGGAGATGAGGCGCTCGTTAGCGGAGAAGCGGCAGAGGCACTACCGTGCGCTGCTGGGCTCGGCGGAGGAATCGGCTGCGAGGAGGCTGAGGGAGAAGGAGGTGGAGGTGGAGAAGGCGGCTCGGCGCAACGCAGAGCTGGAGGCTCGGGCGGCACAGCTGAGCGCGGAGGCACAGGTGTGGCAGGCGAAGGCTCGCGCGCAGGAGGCAGCGGCGGCTTCGCTGCAGGCGCGGCTGCAGCATGCTATAATGAGCGGGAGGTGCGCACAGGAGGAAGGAGGAGGGGGAGTCGAAGGGCAGGCCGACGACGCCGAATCGGCATACATTGACCCGGACCGAGTCGTGATGACGAGTGGGCCGAGTTGCAAAGCGTGTCGGAAGCGAGTCGCCTCAGTGGTTCTGTTGCCGTGTCGGCACCTTTGCCTCTGTACAGAATGTGATGCTTCGGCTCAAGTTTGTCCACTCTGTCTAGCTTTCAGAAATTCAAGTGTCGAAGTGTTTCTCTCTTAGAGCCCAAGCCCAATCACAGGCCCAGTTTCGGTCCAAGACCGTGAATGGATCAAAGGGTAAAATGGTAATGGAATTGAAAAAAAAAAAAAAAAGTGAGATGGGTTGACTGGGTGAGGAGGAGGAAGACAAATAATATTGAAAATAATAAAAAAAATATATTTTATCTCCTTATGCTTTTCTTTTCTTTTTTTTCTTTTTTTGGTTTTTCTTTTTACCTACCCAAGACTACAATTTTTGTGTTTTCTTTTCTTTTTCTTTTCTTGGGGGTGGAAGTACCTTAGAGGTAATGTACATGACTCTTTTTTTTTTTTTTTTTGAAATTTAATTCATATATAAATTCTTTTATTTGATCATCACTTTGCTTTTAAATGTTTTATTTTGTATTTATGTTATTATTATCATATTAATGATAATGCCAATGAGTTTACTAGTTTTCGTAGGCATGAAAGATTGCATTAGAAAAAGCAATAAAGGCATGCTTAATGTGTGGGCATATTTTTCTCTTCACTCACCACATGAGATGGCATTCTAAGAGAGTAAGCATAATACTTGTATTGGGGAAATATTGAATTAGTGTTTTTGATTAATTAAAGCATTTTATGATGCCAATAATTTTGCTCACAACCTCCAAAAATGTTTTTGATTTGTAAGTATACATGACTAAATTGGTTTAATTGGATGGTTTAATGTTAATAACTACTTAGAGTATCTCTAGCAATCTGTTAAAATATTCTTTTGTGATGTGTAAATTTTTAAAATATTCTTTTGTGATGTGTAACTTTTTGCCACATATGATGTGTAAATTTTTATTATCTCTAACAGTCTGTTAAGATACACAGCCACATCAATATATTTCTTTTCTCCTTTCTCTTTCTCATTCCATTAAGGAATCAACCCTAAAAATTATATGGGGGAATAATTAAGTAAGTTTGTAAAAATTATATACCGTCCAGGCATAATATTGATAAGTCAGGCATGATATTGGTTGGTTGTTAGTTAAAGATGCCAATATTTCCAAAAAAATTGTCCTTTTACTGTGGTATATTTTTCATTCTTACCCAATATTGTCCTTCTACTCTTGTATAGTTTTCATTCTTTACTCATTGTGCATTATTACCTATCAAACTGAAAAATGTGATAACTTGCTGGTGTGGGGTTATATTATAGCAAAAATCACTACACTAATAGAAAATATTTGTATGGAATTAAAAAGATAGTTATCTAAGTGGGTTTTTAAAAAAAAAATCTAGAAAATGTCAACTAAATTGATTTTTAGTTCTTTGAAAATAAAAAATCTATTCTAAAAATCTAAACCAAATGAACCATAGTCCCTCAATTTAGATAATAAAAATTTTCTATTAGATGTGAATGTAGGCGTAATATCTAAGTTAATTGAATCAATGTGTATCTACGATTAAGAACCTCGATAATCTTTTTCTATACGGTTTCGTTTCATGCTCTGTACCACTTATCGAGAACAAGTGATGAAGATGCATTCGTATATATGGAGAGAACAAGAATCAATTAAAGCATTTTATGATGCTAATAATTTTACTAACAACCTCAAAAATTGTTTTTGATTTGTAAGTATATATATGACTAAATTGGTTTAATTGGTTTTGTTGAGGGATTAATTTTTACTATTAATAAATACTTACCTACTCATCTGAGTAGGTGATATTGTTCAATTACAAATTAGCATAATTACAAAATCAAGAAAGTAATAAATAAGAAAATTAGGGAAGGTGGCAAATTTATTCCCAAAAATTGTTTCCTTATTTCTTACTTTAATTATAAGCTATGTGTGTATTTGTGATTGGACCCTATTAGTAGATATCACATACTCACAAGTAAATGGGTAAATATTATCCTTTTACTGTGATATAGTTTTCATTCTTACCCATTGTGCATTATTATCCATCAAATTGAAAAATGTGAGAACTTGCTAGTGTGGGGTTCTTATAGCAAAATCACTGCACTTATAGGATTAAAAAGATAGTTATTTTTGATGACCACGCCACATTGGCTATCCGATTGGCACCGCCTCTGAAAATATGCACACTTGGCCAGTACTTATTCGGGGTGCTCCTGAAAGGACTAAGTATTCTCTAGCTGTTTGTCCTATAACTGAACTCACTGGCCGAGGAAGGGGTAGCTACCCTGCCTCTCATGTGGACGCGCCCCGCTTCAGTCGGATGAGCCCCTCCTCCCCTTCTCCCTTCCCTTCCGAGGTTGCTTCCTGCAGGGGCGACCTCGAGCATTCTGTTTTGCGAATTTCCCTGCTTGGTCATAGGGACCTCAAGGTAAAGAGTCGGGATAGAGCCTTATGAGGTTAAGAAGGCGGAATCTCGAGGAAGGCTCTTTCCCCATCCTGAATTCGGGAATCTGATGACATGTGGACAGGTGGCTGAGGTTCAAGGTATCGCCTTGATTCAAGGCCAACACATGGGGGAAAGGACATTCGGTACCCGAGCTCGAGTTAAGAGTAATAGGGAAGGGCATTAATTACGAAAGACGTTTGACAAGATTTGTATTAATTAAGAAGCGTCATTACCTCTTCGGACTGAGAGGCAAAACGCCGCGGTCCATCCGTCAATATCCCATCTGGCAGGAGGAGAGACCCTCAAACCCTTGGGAAAGAGCGGGCTCACCCGAAAGTCCAAGGGGCATTGACCGAGGTAGTGAGCACTATAACTAGAGACATTAATCAGCCTTTAAGACACAAAACAACCACCTTAACAACCAAATCACATCGAGCTCGAGTCTACTGGGTACCGAAGTCAGCCTTTTCTTTCTTAATCCTTACTGTCAATGAGTCCCGTGTATTGCTTGAATCTCCACTTGGATATTGATCTCAGATTTCTTGACTTACGTGGAATGATCTCCTCATCCTACAAAGAACTACCTTCAGCAGTTATCTAAGTGAGTTTTTAAAAAATAATTCTAGAAAATGTCAACTAAACTGATTTTTATTTCTTTGAAAATTAAAAACCTATTCTAAAAATCTAAACCAAATTGGCCCATAGTCCCTCAATTTAGGCAAAATGATGTAATATCTAAGCTAGTTGAGTCCGGTGTGTATCTTCAATCAAGAATATCGATAATCTTTTTTAATACGGTTTCAGTTTGTGTTCTATATTGCTAATGTAACCATTACATTATATTATTATATTATAACATAAAAGAGGATTCAAATTCCTACAATCAAATACGAGAAGAAATTATTGGCTACATTAGTTATGATAGATTCTAGGGGAGTGTTTTTTAATTAGATCAATTTCCAAAGAAATTCAAGATAGAGGGCTGTCATGAATTAAAATCAAACCTTCTTGTCCTATAAGGACACTACTGTACCTAGCAGTTGACACAGTTCTTTTTACATAAGCAACTAAGACAGATTGTGAGAAGTTGCTATCAATTATTGAAGTTCTTCAGCCTTGTCTAAGCCAAGAAAGTGAATAAAGTAAAGTCAACTTTTATTTTTAGGTTCCAATGCCTCCACAAGGAACTAAAAGTAGAGCTCAATCTATCACTGCTGAGTTTCTTAGTCAGAAAGCTAGCAAATGTATAGGTCTTCCCACTGAGTGGGGTAGTTCAAAGATGTAAGCTTTCTCACACATCAAAGATTTTTAGAGTGTTGGCTAAGGTTATAGGGTGCAAGCAAAATATTTCTGTCAAATTCAGAAGAGGAGAAGCAAGTATTGATAAAAGCTGCTTTGCTATGCCATTTTGCCATCATGTGTGCTTCAACTTCCCTCTATCTCTGTGCAACAAAATAAGCTTAGTTTTAGTCAATTTTGGTACGGGGAAATAAGATGTGAGGGACTTATTGGACCAATTGGGAATTTATAACCCATCCAAAGTTAAAAGGGAAATGTTAAAGAGGCTATTGATTCAGTTCTTGAAAACAGTTTTCTGGATTTTTTTTTTTTTTTTTCCTTTTCCTTCTTGAAAATTTTATGTTGAAATAGACTTTAAAAAAGGTAATTTTAGAAAATTCTAAACACTATTTTCTATTTTCAAAAGTCTTTGAAAATTGTGTTGAGAAAACTCACTGCATTTAAAAAATAAAAATTCAATTTTTTAGGAAAAAAAATATATATATCTAATTGATAGATGATAATGTTTATAAGAATCTATTAGTTATTAGTCCTCCAAATTTCTACATAACCACATTATGGCCTAGTATTATAAATTCCACTAATCAACGTCTTTCTTCTTCCTCCTTTTTTATTTATTTTTTTTATTTTATTTTTTTTGCAATTAAAATTTAATTAATTATTACGACCCGTCCTAGATTAGCCTCTAACCAGGTAGATCTAAAGGAAGCGGTTTGAGTAATTTGATTCGTTTTAGAACCACAAAACAAGAAATGGCAACATGGGTGTGTTTTGTGTGGAGCCAAGCATTTAATATAATATGAAAGAACCAAAAAAAAAAGGAACCAATAATGAATATTATTGATTTGTAGTGTATGTTTCCACTTCACTTGCAATAATTTATGCCCGAGAATAGATTGGATCGTGAGCATTTCTATGTACATTTTATTATGCAAATTCAAACTGTTTTTTTCTTGTAGATAAAGCTGGAATCTGATAGTGATCACATGGTTTTCACATCATATTGTCCAATGTAGCCATATGTTACTAAGGCTTGTTTGGGAAGTGAAAAAATAAAATAAAATAAATAATTGTATGACATTTTCAGCACAAATCTCTATATCTGTACAAAGGTACCACCCCATTTTATCAAACCTGTTTTTTTTGGAATCTAATTACATTTTGAATAATGGGTTTTGAATTACTTTTAGAAAAAGGAATTTTGCATTTATTTCTTTAGGGCTTGTTTGGAAATGCCATGAAACTTTTTGTCCAGTTTTGCATTTGAACCAACTGGATCCTAAGTCGCATAAAGCGAGAGCGGGTGCGAGAGTTAATTCGAGAGCTATAAATAGTGATAATTTGAATCAGAATCCGTGCGGAGCGTGAGAGCGGAAGCACGCTCGGAGTGTGAGAGCGACACCCATTGAGAAGAATTGTATGACTTAAGTTGGACCAACTAAAGTATTAAAGTAAGAGCTGTTAAATTTGACATGAGCAAGAAATTCCTTGAATCCAACATGGTTAATAATTGATTAAGACTATTTCTCAGTCAACCAAACATCACCTTAGTTTTCTTGTTGGCAATGGCTAAAGATTCCTTCTCTATTTAGATTTAAATCATACTTGTAAAGCATCTTTCTCTCTGTAAGATTAGTATATTAATGAAATGCACAAGCTTATCCAATTAGACACTTGTTAAGTTGTGAAAGAAAGAGCAAAACAAAGACACACACTTAGTTTGACCAAATTAATGA